GGCACCACAAACTGCAGGTAGTAGCACGCCGACGTCCCGGACACGACCGCCGTCGCCGTGTACGCGAGCGTACTCAGCACAGCCGCGACGGCCGCGACGCGCTTCGAGGTCGTGTTCAAGAGGCAGTTGTACGACCCGCCGTTCATGGGAATCGCTGTGACCACTTCTTCGTAGATGAAGCGGTACATGTAGAGGACGACCGACACCATGGCCATGCAAATGGGCGCCAATTTGCCGGCCTTCAAGGCGACGATACCAGACGAGTAGAGCACGCTGGACATGATGTCGTTGCCGCAGATAGCCGTCGAGGGCCACTCGCCGAGAAGGTGCTTGGGCTTGTTGAGGTCGTCGCGGATCGCAGCGAGCTCGTCGGCCGGCGGCGTGACGTTCTCATGCTTGCCGAGTGCGTCTTGGAAGATGAACGTCGGGCCAGACGCAATCGTTTCGGTCACGGGAATGTGAAAGACGCGTTGGCGGGTCGTCGTCGTCGTCATCGTGGGCGTCGTGGCTTCTTCGTAAGACGTCATGGTCGAGGCGAAATGCAAAGTGAGCTGTGTGGTTTGGTCGAAATCCTCGTGGTTGGGTGCCAGTGCGAGTGGCGTATTGAAGGATCGTTCAACATTTTCACCTTGTTGCCATGCGGTGCTGGCTTCACATCCTGTGCCACCCACCTTGTATACATCTGCTTTGGCGCGTGCTTTTTACAAAGATGTGCTCCGTGGAGCTCCTCGCGTGTGGCTAGTATTTGCACGGTGTACGTTTGGGCTGTGTGGCGCGGGTGCCAGCTGGCACGGCCATAGGATGTGCTTGGATGTGGCAGACTAGGATGTGTCACCAACCTGCGTAACCTCTGGTCCATCTTGCACTTTCCAGTCTGCGGTTTCGTTTTCAATACAGTTCAGGTCCATGGAGCAACGCAGGTGGTATTGTTGTCGAGCTAGGCAGCGAGGCCCAAGAAATAATAATGAGTGCATAGCAATGAATGAACACATCCTTGTTGAGCACCGAGGGGCGCTGATGAGGACACTCGTTTTGAGGCACCCATCATGACGCGACGTGTCCAAAGTGCAACTTTGGTCAATACACTTTCTCACGATCGTCTCTACTGTTGCGCGCCGCGAGTGCTACGGCAGAGCGTCATTACCGTACACGGTCAAGTACCATGACTATGACAAGCTAAAGACGCGTGGAGAAGAAAAGACTCGTCGGAGCCTGCCGTCCGACTTGCTTCGTCCATGAAATCCGAACAGTCCGTTCAGGACTAGCGGTAGAGACACTTTGGATAGCGTGGGTGCTTGAAGTCCACATCGTCGCGATCCGACAACGAGATGTGGACGGGCGCTGGCCACACTCTGACGATGCTCCTCGAACGAACATAGCTCGCACGACATACTTGACGCGTGATTCCTTGGCCAATGGTTCTAGCCACGACGACATGGAGAGTCGTTTGGCAACGTCTGTGGTCGATCCAGGACTTGTTGGCGGAGGAGAAACCGCCACAGAGACCGCACTTCATAGTTAGAACGTCACAGTACGCGCCATATAGAGATACAATTCGATCGCGATGGCGCTCGTACGTACCAGTGTGTCGCTAGCGAGAGACGGAACGCGTAGCGGTCGCTGCACACCGTGATCGAACAATATATCCACTGTCCCGTTGATGTGTGTACCAACATACCGGTACCATTATTACACATTGGCCGTTGCGTGCTACCTAGACAAAACCCCTGGACGATGTCGCAATACTGCAATCGAACGAATGCTGTACCCATGCAAACTCTGTCTAACGTCTTATACTCTTCCATGGAGACACAATACGTAGCACAAGTATGTGTCGTGGCCTATGTGGGGGAGCTTGACATCACAAGCGTCGCCGATTGGGTGCGAGTGTATGCCAATCCAATAGACAAGCCTTGCTACAGCGCAGTTGATGCAAAGGTCGACAAGATTGAACAAAATGGAATACACGTACTACTTCAACCAACTATTATGAAACGACCAACGTTAGCCCGTAATGACGCGGACGCCGCGACGCACAACCTTGTGCGAGATGCTATTCGTTGGCTGCTTGATAAACATCATGTTGGGTGGCAAGTTGAACTCTTTGCTGAGCCAGACAATGACCGCGGGTTCAAACCAGCCGCGGACCGTGAGCACGTCCATCTTGATCTTTGTGTACAAGTTGTCAATCACGTCGACACGCTCCTTCAACAGCGCAATCGTCCGAAGCGCGTCGTCGGTCGGCTCGGGATAGACGTACACGAACCGGAGGCGGCTCGTGAGCTCGTTCGCACGCACGTACAGCGTCACCTTGTTCATGAGCTTGAGGTCCGGCGTCTTGATGAAGAAGAAGTATTCTTGGGCCTTCACCCGCTTGATCGTGCGGATGAGCGCGGTGGCGCACGCGTGCGTCTCCCGGTCGAAATCTTCATTGTCGTCGTCGTCGTCGTCTCCATGGTCACCAAGGACGCCGTGCTGCCGATTGTGGTACACTGTGAGCATCGCGACGTCGTCCGTGTCGGTCGGTTTGGCACCCGTATTGGTGACAATATTGACCATAAACACAAAACAGCGCAAAAGCGTGACGCGCGATAGCATTGTAAACACGACGAGCGCGATTCCGAGCACGTAGTAGAAAAAGTACATGAGGACCGACGGGTTTCCGAGCACAATGCCGAGGTACCCGACGAAAATGCAAGAGGCGCCGATGAGGCAGACCCACCACGGTGCGCGGACGTCGCGCGGAATGTGCTGGCGCTTGACCTTGAGCACCATGCAGCCGACCGCAAAGAGAAACATCATGGACAAGAACGAGTACGTGTAGACACCACCGAGGATGACATTGTCGCCATCCAAGAGCCAGACCAGCGACGACGTGAGGAGGAAGAAGCTCAGAATGATCCAGTGCGTCGTATTACGCCACGCATTCTTGCGCGAGAGGAACCGAGGCAGGACGCGATCGGTGCTGAGACGGCGGAGGAGGCCGTTGCCACCGACGTACGCCGTCAGCACCGCTCCGGAAAGCACGCAAAACGCATCAACACAGACGAGCCACTTGAGCCACGGGCCGCCAGCGACCAAGCCCATGTTGGCGAGGGCCGTGTTGGCGTTGTGGATGAGGCCGTTTGGGCCGTAGAGTGGCAGCACCCCCATCGAGAGGATCGAGAGCACAATGTTGAAGATCGACGAGAACGCCCACATGTTGCGCATCGTCTTGCGAAAGATACCGGGCTGCTGCTGCTCGACAAAGTTGGCCGACGTCTCGTAGCCCGTGACGCCGAGCATCGACGCCGCAAAGCCAAAGAAGAGCGCTGTGCCGACGCTGCCGTCGACGACCGAGCCGACAAAGTCAACGTGCGGGTACGGCGCGTGCCAATTGTCAATCAAAATGCTCGGGTGTTGAATCTACATCCATACCAATAATCAGAACTGATAGAAGATATCAGAATGCAGTACCGTGTAGACCAAGCTCGCGACCGCGAGGATCGTGAGCGTGACAACGTGCAAGGCAAAGATGACGAGCGCGACGACCGCCGACTCGGACAAGCCGAGGAAAAGAGAAGGGCGAAGGCGCCAAGGAGACACACGGTCGTGCCGACGACCGGCAATTCGGGCACCACAAACTGGAGGTAGTAGCACGCCGATGTTCCGGAGACGACGGCGGTTGCCGTGTACGAGAGGATGCTCAGCACGGCCGCAAACGATGCGAACCGCTTGGAGGTCGTGTTCAAAAGGCAGTTGTACGACCCGCCGTTGATCGGGATCGCCGTCACGACCTCTTCGTAAATGAAGCGGTACAGGTAGAGCACAAAGGACACCATGACCATGCAAAAGGGCGCGAGGTTCCCGGCCTTTAGCGCGACAATACCGGCCGAGTAGAGGACGCTGGACATGATGTCGTTGCCGCAGAGCGCCGTGGATGGCCACTCGCTCAAAAGGTGCTTGGCGCGCGCGTTGAGCTTGGCGCGAATGTCGACGAGGTCGTCGAGCGGTGGTCGAATCGTGTCCGACTTGCGATTGTACATGGAAGATGCGGTCGTGCCAAAGGATGATACCTCTTGCGGCTGGTACTGGATCTGGTCGAGGCCCGTAAAGAGTGTGAGCTTGTGTCCTGGCGTCGGCGCGGCCTGGTACCCCGACATGCGGTTGGATGGAGGAATGTGGAAATGATGCACGCTGACGTCGATCGGATGTGCTGCGGTCGTCAGGCGCTGTAACGGCCGTGCCAGAAAGGCAACATCAAATCCATCTGGTTTTTCAGATCAATTGCAGCCACAAACGAGACTCGTCGACAGATGTGGCGCGGTCCGCCCCTCCATGTGGCAAGTGCGCATCCCACACGACAGTTCTGCCAACTTGCTTCAAAGTCTACTCGAAAGGTCGTCGACATTCCGACATGCGTGTGTCGTACGGCGTGGCCTCCATCCCAAGAGCTCGTACGCCTCGATGCAAGGCTCAAGGGTTCAGGCCCGACCCGATGATCGTTTTGACCGCGTCTGTCCAGTGCATTGCAAGGCTGGCGTCCCACGGTCCGAAGGTTCGTGAGTGTGTGGCGAGCTCGAGTACTGTCGTGCGGTAGTATAAACCCAGAGTCGAGCTCCCAACGGCGGTGAAGAGCTCGATACTTGCGTATAGTAGATATATCAACCGTAAATGAATACTATAGGTTGTGGTAATGACTGACCACAGATGGACTGCATCAGCAACCTAAAGCAACGGGCGCGTCGACGTCGAGAGGCCGCGCAACGATCTTGATCAGATTTATATACCAGTAATACGAACGACCATCGTGCGCTGGCTTCTCCTCATTCTGGCGTGGCACGCGCTCCTCCACCAAACGACGAGTATCCAAGAAGAAGGGTCCATGCACTTTTGAAGAGACGCACGTTGACACTACTAGCAACGACCTACATGTATGTCCTTGCCAGTAATATGATGCTCACGCTTGGGACGATGGACGAGCGATTATTCGTGCACCTTGCACACACTGGTGCAAATGAAACCGCATCGTAAGCATCCTGCTTGATCGGCAAGGCAGCAAAAGCGGCTCGCTATGATCTCGTATCGAGCGTAGTGTGCAGGCGACCACCAGAGTCAGGGACCATTAAATGCCCTACCGCACAATTAACGGTAGGGCGACATCCTCATACACGCCGTGATCGCTGGTGTTAGCGTGCGCGTCGTGCCATGACTCTCGGTCGTCAACGCATGCTCCGCTTGCCCAGTTGGTTGGCGAAACGAAGGAGCAACGCGCCAAGGACAACACTGTCGCAGAGGTAGGGTTGTACATTGTAGTGATCATCGGCCCCTGCATCAACCGTCACCGACTAGGCAAGCATATGTCGACAAGTGGCGTCACCAATTCTTCGTGGATCTGCCGTCTGTGGTCTCAAGAACCATAAAGTTGGTGTTCTCGGAGGGCAGTCGTGGTAATAAGGCTCCATGCAGTGTCGTATTGAGATATTGTACTGTAGGGTTAGGTTAATGGGTAGCTACAAAGGGCCACGGCGAGGATTAGCCCGTAATGACGCGGACGCCGCAGCCCGAGACCTTGTGCACCGTCGAGTTGGTCGGCTGCTTGATAACATCATGTTGGTCGGCATCTCGTACTCCTTGCTGAGCCACATGATAGTCGCGGGGCTAAACGACGCGTGGATCGACACAAAGTCCGTCTTGATCTTGGGGTAAATCCGATCAAAGAGCGCGACCATCTCCTGAAGCGCATGAATGGTATCCATCGCTTCGTCCGTCACGTCGGGATATACGTGGACGAATCGAAGTGTCGTCGTCATCTCGTTGTTGCGGACATACAAGATGACCTTGTTGAGGACTGTGAGGTCCGGGGACTTGACGAAGAAGACAAACGGCTGCGTCTTGATGGCCTTGATCGTCTTGACGAGCAGAGCTACACGCTTGTTCTCGCGCTCGAAAAACCGAATGTTGTCTTCCTTGACGACCACGTCCATCTCAGCCGCGCGGCGCTCAATCTCCTCGTTGATCTCGAGCTTGGTCGCGCGCTTGTGCGGCAGCAAATTGGCCAAAAAGATCAAGCAGCGAAGGACCGTCACGCGCGCCAGCATCATATACACGACAAACGCAACACCGAGAGCGTAGTACGCAAAGTACATGAGCACCGCCGGGTCGCCGAGGAGGATGCCAAAGTACCCGATCGCAATCAGCGTCGCGCCCGAGATGCACGCCCACCACGGTGCGTGGACGTCGCGCGGAATGTCCTGGCGCTTGATCTTGAGCATCATGCAGCCCATCGCAAAGAGAAACATGAGCGAGAGGAACGAGTACGTGTAGACACCGCCGAGGATGACATTGTCGCCGT